ATGTTCCACACCTTCTTTAACCATTCTTCTATTGACGGGCACCTAGGTTGTTTTCAGTTTCTGGCTATTACAAATAGTGCTGCTTTGAACATAGTTGAACAAATGCTTTTGTAGTATGATTGGGCATCTCATGGGTATATTCCCAAGAGGGGAATTGCTGGATCCTGAGGTAGGTTGACTCCCAGTTTCCTGAGAAACCGCCACACTGATTTCCAAAGTGACTGCACAAGTTTGCATTCCCACCAACAATGGATGAGTGTTCCCCTCACTCCACAACCTCTCCAGCATAGGCTATCATTGGTGTTTTTGAGTTTAGTTATTCTGACAGGTGTAAGATGGTATCTCAAAGTTGTTTTGATTTGCATCTCCCTGATCACTAAGGAGGTTGAGCATGACCTTAAGTGTCTTTTGGCCATTTGAACTTCTTCTGTTGAGAATTCTCTGTTCATCTCAGTACTCCATTTTTTATATTTTTTTATTAATTAATTTATTTGTTTATAAAAATTTCCACTTCCTCCCCTCCTCCCCCTACCCTCCCATTCTCCCCACTCCCTCTCCTCCTCCCCCCCACTCCTACCCCTCCTTCTTCTCCAGTCCTAAGAGCAGTCAGGGTTTCCTGCCCTGTGGGAAGTTCAAGTTCCTCCCCTCTCCCTCCAGGTCTAGGAAGGTGAGCATCCAACCAAACTAGGATCCCAGAAAGCTAGTACATGCAGACAAAACAAGACCCAGTGCCATTGACAATGGCTTCTCAGTCAGCCCCCATGTCAGTCACATTTAGAGACTCCGGTTTGATCACATGCTCGTTCAGTCCCAGTCCAGCTGGTCTTGGTGAGCTCTCATTCGATCAGTCCCCTTGTATCAGAGAGTGAATGCATCCCACACGGTTCTGATTTCCTTTTTCATGATCTCTCTCCTTCTGCTCCTCATTTGGACCTTGGGGGCTCAGTCCAGTGCTCCAATGTGGGTCTCCGTCTCTATCTCCATCTATTGTCAGATGAAGGTTCCCTCTAGTCCTGCCTTTCTTGCTCACGTTCTCCCTCCTTCTGCTTCTCATTTGGACCTAGGGAGTTAAGTCCAGTGTTCCAATGTGTGTCTCTATCTCTATCTCCATCCATCACCCGATGAAGGATCTATGGTGATATACAAAATATT